CATATTTGTAAGGATGTTTTTACATGGACTATAATTTACTGGTTTGATTTGATCTAGTCTGGTAGGCTCTGAACTGCTCTGATTTGTTCTGGTAAACGTCCGGTCTTTGTGTATTTTATAATTACGCAAGTCAAGTCTGGTCTGATCTGCTCTGTTTAAGTCCGATCTAGTCTGATTTCTTTAAGTCTAGTGTAGCCTACTTAAGTCTGGTCTGGTCTGAGTTGAAAATAATCCAAGTAAAAACATGCTAAAATACGCTAGATAGACCAGATGTCTATCAATCAAATCAGATTAGAAAATTTCAATTCAATTAAAAACCTCAGTAATAGTAGTCCACAAGAGAAGTTGTCGACGACACCCATTTTGGATGTCTCCCAACGATAGTTTTCTATGACTTTTACGAAAATATTTTCCAACAATCTTCTTTGTCTAAAAAAATTTGCCGCTTTCTTTTAAAACAATGAATTTATGGCTTTGTTAATTTTTTTATCATTTGCACAAACTCAACGACACAATTTATACTATTCAAATTTCACACCAACATCAACTTAGCAAAGTCGAGTGGGACCAAATTAGTACATGATAGTAACTTGTTGGCCAAGTTATTAACTAATACCTAGCTAGCTAGTCATTAGTTGTGGGATGTAAATGCAAGTATATTTAGTGTGCATTTGATAAAAATTGACTGATCGGCTGAATCTACTGAAATTTATGAAATTATAGCTAAAATGGTTGATTTGACCAAATTTATTGAGTTATGGAAAAAATTATCTTTTGCAATACTTTTCTATCAATTCAGCCATAAAGTAATTTCAATCTTACCTTTTTTATTATTAAACCATTCAATGCTCGAAGTGGAAATCTGCGTGTTTGGTAAAACAATTGTTTGATAAAGCTGTTAAACTAAACTAGGGGTTACCAAACAAAATCTTAGCTACTTTGTGATTTTAAACATATAATAAGTGTTTAAGTTCTATCTATGAAATAGTAAGTTTAGATTGTTATGTTTTCCTAAAAATAAAGGAAGAAATTAAGGGTTGGCACGGTATGGGTCAGTCTGGATAATCGATAAATTTTCAAGAACCGTCGATTGCATTTAATGGGTATAGTAGGTTCGGTATGGGTATTCCAAATTTTGAAATAGGAATCATACCTTACACGCCCCGTTTGAAACATGTCAGTTCAGTCTGAGTTCTCGGTTCTTTAATTTTTTTGTAAGAAAAATACCGTTATGCTAGCAAAGTATCTAGTAGTTATAACATTCTCAAACCAATTAAGTATCAATGTCACATAATATTATACAAATTTAAATAAAAATATAAACAACATTTTACATGAGTAAACAAAATAACTAATCACAAATTTATAATTAAACAACACACAACTACCCAAATTAAGCAACACCAAATTTAAAAATGTAGAAATTTAGACATCATTATGCATAAACTAAAAAGATATCACTATAAAGTTAGAAGAAATTAAACCAGTTACCATGCATAATTGTCTATGAAAACAATTTAAAACTTATTAAAACTCAAAATATAAGTAAAATTAAGATAATTAAATAAATATATCACACTTCATTCAGTAAGAGTCTTCATTTAAAAAAAATATTAAATAAAGAAGTTTGATGCATTTGAAATAGAGAATTGGAGGAAATAATTTAGGAGTTTATATGGACTTTGATTTGTAATAAAATGTCAAGTTTCTTCAATTGAGAGCCTCTATTTTTGTAGAACAATAGGAGCATGAAAAGCTTTCTCTATTATTAGTATATTTTATTAAATGTAATAGAGTTTTTCAAATAACATTATATAACGGTCTTGGTATCCATTTTTTAAAATTTTAAGATCCGTTTAGTTCCTAAGCTTTTAAACACCCACCTCGAACCGAACCGTTTGAGTTTTCTAAAATTAGGACCCTGTCCTAACCCGCCCGAATCTGTATTTCCCAGGCTGACCCGTGGCTCCTGTAATTTCTCACAAGTTCGGGCCTAAATTATGTATGGAACCCCTACCTGTGAAACTTGAAGGTGGCTTGGGGTTGAAGAGGTGTAGCATTTAAAATTGCCAATATAGTAGAACTACAACAAACAATGTCTATAATGCAAAAATAAACTACGTAGTTTATACAAATAACTCATTTATTTCAACATTTGTTATAAATTACATTTCTACTACTATACTCATTATTCATGAACAGATCTTGACTGAAATACTCAATATTTATTTGCATAGTTATACAAAACATTGAAACGAACTTTTTTACATGGATTAGGAATTTAGAATACAAATGTAGATTAAGAGCCATTATTATTAATTATCCATTTATTTGGAAGAGAAAACCCACCTTTTGTTAGCAGACAAGATGATTCTGAACCATTATTAATTATGCATTTATCTAGAAGAGAAAAGCTCATCATCAGAGTACTAAGGAGCAGGGTCGGTCATGAGAAAATACGGACCCTGTGCAAAAAATAAAATGTAGGCTTTTTCCTAAAAATAGGTAAAAATATACGTAGTAATATAAGTGAAGATTATAATTGTAATAATTTGCTACAATAATTATTTGTATCAAAATACAAGTCATTCACTAACATAATAGTTAAAATAAAAGTACTCCTTTAACAAAATACACTCCATTTATTTGTTAAATTGAATTATAAATTAATAGACTAATAACCTAAAACCTGAACTTGGCCTGGTGATTCGCCAAGTTCAATTATTACAAACCATCCAAATATAATTTTATCTATGTACTAAAGCATTCAAACTCAAAATTAAAACCCAAAAAAAGAATAATATAAGAATTAAATGGAATTCATAAATTTGAGCCGTGTTTGACTGTTTGGAATTAAATGGATAAGTTGCAAATAAATATTTATATAAAGAAATATAAATATAATTGATAGACGTAATGAATATTTCGTACATATGTAATACTACCTCCGTCCCTTTTATATTGGGACGGAAGAGGGTGACACGAATTTAAAGAAAAGTTGGTTTGTGTTGTTGATATTAATTGATAAAGTAAGAATAAAGTAAGAATGATTTTGAGCCACACAAATTTTACCAAATAAGATATGAGACAATTAAATAGGGACATCCCAATATGGTAAAACGGGACATTTAAAAAGGAGCGGAGGGAGTAATTTTTTAATTTAATAATGGCATGAAATAAAAAAATAGTTATTATTATGATTACATATTAATATCAATAATTGTAGCTGATGGTATAGGGCTTAAAATCTTATGAGTTATATCAATAGTTGTATGATACATAGTATAAAAAAGAAAATTCGAAGAATGTTAGCATCAAGCAAACAGTTGAGCTGGTTGAACATCCTCACGTCTAAGAATCATGCCAGGGTTTGAATCCCCCTGGTCTTAAATTTTTTCAATGAACCATATGATCTTACCTATTCGGCTCTACTTATGGATAATAATAGGAGGACTATTGAAAATTTGGGCCCTTAGAATTCACGGCCCTGTGCGGTTGCACTGGTGGCACACGTCCTGGGCCGGCCCTGCTAAGGAGTATAACACAAGTAAACTGAGAACGTAACCATCTTTCATAACTTCTCATATTTTAATTTGGTTAAAGTTACTTGATTATTGTGCTCATGTTAGCCCATATCAATCAACTTACTTGGCTCTTCATAGGAGTAATAGCTCATTTTAATATCTTCTAATGTCCATATTAATTTGTTGCTAATGCTAAATAAAAACTGTTTAATACTCCGTATGATATACTATATTCATCTAGATTTGGTGCACGATTTATTTTTGGTACACGTATAAAAGCATATAATCAACTTATTTTTCATGACTGGAAATCTGGAATAGTCGTTCAGTTTAATATTTCTTACTAGTGTATCATACTCTATTAATTTGCTTAATAATAAAATAGCATTATAATATTTTGTACTATCGTCTAAATTGCAATGTTTACATGCATAAAAGCGTATCAATCAATTTATTTTTTCACAAGAGTAATAGTTCATTTCAATATTTTCTAATATCCATTTCAATATGTTAAAGAATCAAAACTTAGTGCATGAATAAAATGCTAAAAGCGTATCATGTCCATGGGCCTAATTGGTACCCTAATACATACGAGGCATTTTTATTTCCTTTGTGGTGAATGTAGTTATGAAGGTACCGATTTTCTCCAAAGCTTTTTGTTTTGGGAATGGGTGATAAGGGTTCCATTGAACTACAATGCAGAATCTGTTTTAAAAATTAAATTTCAAGGTATTTTTGTGATAGATTAAGAGCAACAATGTACAAACACAAAATTGAATAACGTACCATAGTTATACGAAGTTAATATATACTTCATGATATATAAATTTGGATGTACCTCATGGCTTATGCAGTCATGCACCACTTTGCAAGGTAAGGGCGGAATTAGGGGAACGAGGGGGCAAGCCAGTGCCAGCACCACCCATTCGAGGGCATGTTTATTGCAAATGTGTATGCATGTATAATGTATGTATATGTTTGCAGCCCTGATCATTAAAATTGCTACAGAACTAGCGTTGGTATGTGTATAAGCCCTATAAGGTATATCACTTCCAAAAGTACCTTGAGTCCTTGAATGTCAATTGCACACTAATCATGCTTAGTTTAGAGGCTTCCTGCCAATTAGGGGAGGAGTTATAACTGATTATTGAAGCCAATGCCATCAATAACAAAAGTGCAAGCTGGGAGGACTAATAATTTGATTATCAGAAAAATAGTCATCTTAAATGTGTACGATTGTATTTTTCTCATGGCCATAGGGAAGGGACCGAGCTGTGGACCGGGCATGGACGTAGACCAGTTCTGGTTCCGGGTAAGGTAAAGAGGAGAACCAGAACCTTAATCAGGTAAAATTGTTCCGGCCCGTTTTTTTTTTAGTATTTTCCACACACACAATAAAAAGGAACGGGAACCTGTAAGATCCTTTAGAGGAACCGAAACCAGCATGGACCAGTTCAGGATACCAACTCTAGTCTGGAACCGAAAAAACAGGTGCCTGATTCTATTTCTGAGTTTTGCTAGATGTACACAAAATTGTACACATGTCTGTCCTTCACAGAAATTTTGTCTGTGGACGGGTTAATAAAAAAAGCCAAGCCTGAACCAGAATTCAGCTTACTTACCGGAATGCTCTCCTTAAAGATTGTAAGGTACTATTCGGGTTTAATGCGCCAAACCCCCCTGTGATTTGGAAATTCGGCGCATTTAAAAAATGCATCAAACCCCCTTGTGTTTTAATTAATCATGCACAGAACCCCCTTTATGAATAAATTTAACGATTTGAAAATCACTTTTCCTAATATTTTGATTGAATATGCAAATAAATATGTCAAAATTTCTGAATCATACAAAAATGTCAATCATTTTTCTTTTATTTGACAATTGAATTTGTTCACATAAGGGATTTGGCGCATGATTAATTAAAACACAAGGGTGTTTGACGCATTTTTTAAATCACAGGGGGCTAATGCGCCGAATTTCCAAATCACAAGGGGGTTTGGTGCATTAAACCCGTACTATTCTAATAGAGAAAGAAAGCACTGACTATTAGAAAAATTAAAATAATGTTATTTGCAGGCTTGTAGCTTTGAGCGGTTAGGGTATTGCCTCGAGGGCTTTAAGCCCTAGGCCCCACCTGTGTCAATGAATGCTAGCTCCGGCAGCAGACTCATGGATAGGGGGATCTTTGCTGAAGGATTCCCAATCAACTTCTCTGATCACTTTAAATCTTTCATCCAATGATATAAACCCAACATGAGATGCAACGGCTCCCGAATTACCAGCTTTGTAGAGCAAAACAATACTAGATCCCATATCAGGCCCATGAAGCTTTCCTGTTAGTAGTACCCTAAGGGGCATGAACAGAGACTTTCCCTGGCACAAGAAATGAAAGAACCCAAGATCAACTAATCGTTATGTTTATCCCAAAATCATGCTTGTCGCGAGATTTTTGGGTGGAAGGTATCTAAAATAAATATGCAAGTTACAATCATTATTTCTAACCTTCCGCTTCAGTGCTTTACCAAAGGTCTTTACCCATTTTTGCCAGCCAGGTTGGCCTTCATCAAGTGCAGCGAAGAGCTCACCACTAGAATAGGCAGCTAGCAAGCTATCGGCGACTTCATGAAGCCCATCATCCAATAATGATTTTCCTTCAGGACTGCAAAGGAAATGGTAGCGGTTTAATCAAATTTCTTCACTAAATAAATAAATACTCCCAATCTCATTAAATATGGGTTTCATATATGAAGGAAACAAATAATGTTTCATCATTTTTCCAATTTGACCCTTAAAAGTAGGTATATCTTTTATAATAAGATGTGTGAATACTTCAAAATGTCAATTTAGAAGGGCAAGAAGGTTGTGGAGTTCAAAAAGGAAAGTGGATATAATTGGTGTGATAAACCAAAAAGGAAAGTGATACTTATAAAATGCATAGGAAGGAATATTTCTTACACAAACATGACATATATGGAGGACTAGACCCAAAATTAAAAGCTAGCTCCAATTTTGAAAAGTGGATGGCTGCAAAAGATATTGAAGCTGATAGTAGTTTTGGATTTGGTAAAAGATGTTCCTAGAAGTAGCTGTTGACTGTTGTTCATTATACTGAACAACAGCTACTTAATCATTAGCATATACGGAGTATGTGGGAAGCATATACGAGAATATTTATTACCATAATTAGAGATTGAAAAATGGGGTTACTTTTCCAAATAAACAGGGCCATTACTTGGAAAAATAAGAGTAATGCTAATAGAGTCTTTCACATATTTTATACGGAGTATAATATATATCTCTCCAAATAAGAGCTTATTTTATGTCCTCACTTTATTTACCAAAATAACATTATGGCTTATTTGGAGCATTAAATAAGCTTTAAACTCTCAAGTAAGCTCTTACCCAGAGTAGGTAGTGGAAGAGCATAACTTGGTATAGAAAGTTACATTTCTTTATTAAGTTGTGTAAGACTATATATATGCTCTCCATTATGCTCATGATATTTCAGATAAAACTCACAATTCTGAAACATAAATCAAAGGATCACCTCGTCAAGGTTTCATTTAAAGGATAACATAGTAAGTTTGAGAGAACTTTCTCTGAATCGTTTATCAAGTCAATTCCATCCTTCAAAAGCATGACAGCCTCCTGTTTATATGAAAAATGTAAGATACAATCAATGCCTTTTTTTTTATAAAAGTGTACATTTAAATGTGAGATGGTGTTTATATATTCAAATAGTAAACTAAAATGATAAAACCAACCACATAATTTCGGAATCAAGTAAAATAAATTTTCAGAATAAGAACAAAAAAACTGCAATATAAAAAATATGGGCAGAAGAGTGACGAACACTTAATGAGTAATCATCTGTGATTTCCCAACATTGCTTTCCAGAAACTTGGATTGTATCTTTCTAGGCCCCGACAGATAAATCAACAATCTTAATTAGTTAACATTTATTAAATTCTGTTAGGGATTTCACAACGGTGATATCTTTTAGAGTCCTTAACTGATAGATTCTAATCTTTGAAGTACTAAATTGATACGTTTTTCTTTCAAGTCCTAAATTGATAGTTGACTTTCATGTCCTACACCGATAAACCTTCTATATATAAGCAGTCCAAAACATTTTATAGCAATACTAACTAAATACTATGGAAAAAGCTTTTTCTTTTAAAACATTTTCTTTTTCCTGATTTCTTTAAACCAAAGTGCATTAATGTGTATAATTTAAAGAGCAAACCATACTTGTATAAAAGTTCCCCCTGATTCTGTAAGAATGCCAGTATCCTGCCAGCGGCTACCAATGACTTTTATTAACTCTTCTGATGGTAGAGATCTCAAATGTTGACCATTCATCCACCTGCATTTTTACATTTATATGAAGTGTAAAAATCCACAAAAAATACAATGCATTGCTAGTAGATAAATCTCAGAATATAAAACCCAAATTGAGAGACAGAGAGAGAGAGAGAGAGAGAGAGAGAGAGAGAGAGAGAGAGAGAGAGAGAGAGACCTAAATGGTAAACATCTAGAAGGCAGACATACATTACCTTAATTTTGTTGAGTCAAAAATGGCACCACCTTTATTTACTCGTTCAATTGTAAATTTTTCAACTGAAAAAAACGCATGAGTTATATCAATAAAATAATTTTATCAATACAGGACTGGAAAGATGAAAATTGTCAATATAGGGCCCGAATAATTTAAAAATATCACGAATTTTACAATTTTTTATTTTATATTTTTTAAATAATATTTAATTTTATTAAACTAAAAAACTAATACACTTTAATGAAGAAAAAATCATCAAACATCAGCAATGAAATAAATAAAAAAATCAAAGATATCAAAATCTATTATATTTTAGGTCTTTGATTGATAATTTTCAATCTTTCGGGTCCCTGATTGATTGTTAACATATTTTTCATGTCTTGGATTGATAAAAATATAATATTCCTTAGATAAATAACATTCCGCTTCAGTCTTCACCCCCAAAGATGAAAGATGAATGAGCAACAGTATTTTTTTTAACCCCAGGGGGGGTTGGGGGACACATGGTATAGAGCGCTGAAACTGCTTCCGTGGAGTTTCGAAATGAGCAACACTAAAAATAAGGCAACTCACCTAGTTGCTCAAGGGTATAAAATTCGTTTTCAGTGCCATCACCCCATCCCAACAATGCAAGGTAATTCACCATAGCCTGAGGCAAATAACCCATCTCCTTGAACTGGTAAAAGAAGAAAAGAAAGACATTGGTAAATTGGTAATACAATTCATCTTTAGTGTCCAAAAATGAAAGATCCATCTCAAAAAGTATAAAATTGAAAAACAAACTCAAAAAGTATATGAAAAACAAACTGAAATGATATATAAACCAGCTACCTGACCCACTGAAGTTGCACCATGTCGTTTTGAGAGTTTGCTTCTATCAGGGGCAAGAATCAAAGAAACATGTGCAAAGGAAGGCATTGGGAATCCAAGGGACTGAAACATGGTGACATTGATGTTATAAAAATCCTCACCCTCAATGTAAGAAAAAAATGGAAAATAGTAAGAGCAGCAGGTGGAACTTTAGAAGATGAAGTACCTTATATATTAAAGCTTGTCTCAGTGTGTTGGGTAAATGTTCTTCTGCTCTGAAACATCAAGAGTAGTGAGGATCAGTTAAGTAATATGCACTGAGGTGTTTACTTCTAAAGCACAGTCACTCATTTACCTTATGACGTGTGAAATAGCCATGGTAGCATCATCAACAGTGACACAAAAATTGTAAACGGGTTGTCCATTACTTCTCATGATAACAAAATCCCCAAGAGTGTCCAGATTCCAACTTACCTTCATGATGCCACAAACGAAATTATAATCCACCATAGAAAGAATCAAGTTGCAGTTCAAAGAGTAGCTCTTTTGTATGGTACAAGATGTGATTCCAGATGTAAAAAGGAACAATCAAGCATAAGACTGTAAGAGTCAGGAGAGTGGTATAGCTTTATAATGTCCGGCCATGTTCCTCGTTTATTTTCTTGCATTACACCACTCTTGCATCTTCTTTTAAAAAGATGGAAGCACCTATCCTCACTATTCATGGTACCTGTTTCCCTATAGATGCAAATAATACTCCAAAAAAGTAACAACTCTCCTGGAAACAAAACCAAACTGCCATTCCCAAGATTTCTATTTTGGTAAAATATTTATTAACTGATAGAACCCCATTTCTGTTCAAAAAAATATAAAAAAATTCGCTTTTGTGTAAAAAACTCACTTAATCAGTAATATCTGTCTCATAACCACACGGTCCACACTTCTTTTGGTATATTACTACGGGCTGAAAAAAATCATATAGAGGATATTGACGGAGCCATGGTGTAACAGCAGTTTTAGAAAATAACAAACCTCACCACGGATGAGGTCATCAATTTTCAGCCTCCCTTCACTAGGTACTCGAAACCGATATGTATAAGGGGTCCCCTTTTTCATCTCCTCTTGCACTTCCTCCTCTGTGGCTCTTGCCCAATTTCCTGTATATACTGGAGGCAGCTGCTTCAATTTTGCAATCTCTTTCATTTTCTCCAGTTCCTACTACATTTAAGCATATAACTATATATGGTGGTAGATAAAAACAAAGAGCAATAACAAAAACTAAAAAAATGTCAAAATGAGAAAAACAAATTGATGGTGATGAACCCATATGCCTATGCATAATCACCTCATTGGAGCAGAAACAACGATAAACATGGCCTGATTGTAAAAGTTTTTCAGCATACTCCTTGTAAAGTGCATTCCTCTCAGACTGCCTATATGGTCCATAGCTTCCACCAATGCCAGGACCTGGCATCAATTCACCATGTAATTGCCACACAATGGAAAACTTTATAATAGATTGGAAATCTCCCACACAAAAAGCAAGAATTAGAAAGAAGAGTTTATGAATAGATAAGGGATATGTCAAAAAAAGAAACAAAAAAAAGTAAGCAAATTCAATAATAATTTATCATTGTTGTTGTGATTTTTTTTTTTACTACGGAGTATTATTTATTCCGTTTTTAGCCTATTGACTTATGCTGATGGTAAAATGGGTAGACAACCACCATTGGTGTTTCAAAAAGAGAAAAGCTTCAATTTTGCCATTTAAAGTAGCTGGAACTTGCACACCAATATGAGCAGCTTAGTTTTGACAGAAGATTAGAGACCAAACCTTCATCCCACTTCAGACCAAGCCAAGAAAGATCAGAAAGCACGGCTTCCTCAGATTCTTTTGTTGATCTTTCCAAGTCAGTATCTTCAATTCGGAGGATAAACTTTCCACCCTTGGACCTGTCACAATAGCTCAATTACAATTGACACTGAATTAGCCATTGCCGAATATATGGTGTTCTCTTATTGACCTGGCAAATAGGTAGTTGAAAAGGGCAGTTCTTGCTCCTCCAACGTGGAGGTTCCCAGTAGGAGATGGCGCAAAACGAACACGAACTTCTTCTCCTTTTGTCTTCTTCAGAGCAGCGCAGGATTCAATAGCTGAAGCGGAGACTGAGAATGATCTCTTCGCGAAGCAGAGACTCCGCTGGCCGTTTCGACTGCCATTTCTGCAATAGAGTGATGATTGGCGAAGCATGGGAGGAGCCGCCTCCATGAGAATCAGGCTCATTCTTACCATATTTAGCATGGACAAGGCCGAACCTGGGGTGAAATCGCTCGTCGGGCTTAGTAAAGCCCCGGCACGAGTAGGCCGAACCTTAGTTGGCCTAAGGTTGACCGGATAAAAAGTTCAAAGGGAAGAGGGCGGAGAATGGTGAAGACGAACAGAGACGAAGCCACGAGGGGTTGAGTACATATACGGATAAGGAGCAATAGTCCAATTTTAAAGAATATTAAACGTCTAATAATGAGTACCGTTTTATTACAAGAAAACTGATATCACAACTAAAAAACGGTGTTCTGGTAAAAAAAAAAAAAAACTAAAAAACGGTGGCATTTTTGAAATTTCAGTTAAAATCGCGGTTTTTGTCAGATGAGCATTAATACACTTCTAATGAGCATCAAACCTAGCTCGAGGGCATGCCGGGAGTTGCTAAGAAGAAAGGGGACGTTTGTTTTGACTCAAAGTTTACTACTCCCTTCCGAGCTTTCTTTGGAGTTTAATTTAGGGAGGTCCGAACTATTGATGTGGGAGGGAGTGGATCTTGATTTCGTGGTATCCGGTGTACTAGGATATGCACTTTATTTGTAACATTGACTTGTTATTTTCTTGGGTGTTAAGTGATTTGTGAAGTGGGGCCTGTCCCATATTTTTGATGCATTATATCTAGGTTAGTTTATTCTACCTTAGATAGTCATTTTGATTTGGATTGATGCATTGTAAAATGCTATTTTTTCGGTTTCTAATATACTTACATATTATCGGAAAAAAAATGAGCATCAAACCTATTGTGTTGAGTATTGAGAGTCTAATATTGAACATCGTGATCTATGATTCATATCTTTTAATTCACTTTCGTTTTCTTATTTTTTCTTTTTATGAAAATCATTAAATTATATCTATAATCAACCATTATGAATTCCAATATGATAATTTAATTTAACATTGCACTTCTTAAATATGCATTGATATGAAAATCATACCTTTTACTAGATGAATATCAATACATTTTCATTGAGAATTAAGCCTAATCTATTGAATATTAAAAATATGCAATTGAGTATTATGGTCTCTGTTACCATGTCTTCTATTTCGCTTACATTTTAAAATGAGCATAATGTTGCACCAAATGAGCATACATGACCTACAAAATGAATATTGGAAAATTCAAAACATTATTTGAAATAACTAATCTGCTCAAATCCTCATTTGTCTATGTTCATTTGAGCATTAAAACATCTTCATTGAGTATCATGTTTTCTGATATTGAACATTGAGATTATGTGAGCAAACTCTAATCTGATCGTGTGGATTTTGTCGACATTGATATAACATTTTAAAATGATCATAACACAAGTACCAGTTGAGCATTACACCAATATGCATGGATATGAAATTTTAAATGAGTATTCCACTAATAGTAAATGAGCATACATAACTTATGAAATGAACACCGAAAAATTAAAAAACTCATTTAAAATATCTAGTATGCTCAAATATATATATTAATGTGTGCATGCTCAATTAAGATAAAATCATCCCAATTTGTGTATGAATATAAGAACGTGGATGATGGTGTAGGAGTAGCAATTTGTGGTTTAAAGAAAAAATCATCTCAATTGGCTTGTGTAGACGGCAGAGGACTATCCATAGGTTTTGTAATCATTTTGTCTTCAACGAAGACATTTTTAGGGATCTTTTCTGCAAATAACCAGACATCTTCAGTAATTCGAACCAGCTAAGGCAGATCCGTCAACTTCGCTACAAACTTAGCGACATAAGCTTGTTCTTCAAATCCGACAACAACTTTCTAAAGCTTTTGCGGCATCGTCTGGAGAACAGAAAGATCGAAGTTCAGCTTGCAAATCGCTTATCTCCATGGCTCTAGAAGTCGGTGCTGCTACAGACCACCCAACGTTATAGTCTCGATCGTATTCCCTGCACTTCATGTACTCCCTGTTAGTTAACAACCTCAGAAGTCCAGTATATTACAAAAATACTCAGTTGTATCATGCTCAAGGTATAGCCAGCTGTAGGATATAATTTAACCGAGGGATTGTGCACTTGTTTCTACTCTCCAAAAAAACTATTTTTTGTGATTTTTAAAAAGTGTTTAATACTCACTCCCTTCTCTAATACTTGTCGGTAAATTCCATCGTACAGCCGGCTGCATCGTGCCCACGGTACAACCGGCCTTTTATGTCACGCCCCGGACCGCGTCCGTGCCACGTAGACAACCGCCGTACAATCCAATAAGAACAACGTAGTTCATTCTTATTAAATCATACAAGGCGTCCGATAGATTCTATTGCCAAACCGATTAGTAAACACATACAATCAACATCAATATCATAATCAAACAATTGCGGAAATAGTATGTTTGATACTTAGCCACACGTGGCAAATACGGGCACGCAGACCCTTTAATAGTTTGACTGAAAACCTTGTTCAAATATCCATGAGCAATTACATTGTTTTAAATGAGAATGGAAGCACGAACCACGTCTTCCTTATTGATGATCACCCTGGGCAAAGGTGCAGGATTAGGTCTCAAGCCTTAACCTGAAAAATGTGAGGGCCCCCGAAGGGGTCAGTACTCCATAGAAAGTACTAGTGACAAGCAGGCTATATGAGGAATAACTAATGTTTCAGACACGAGACCCAAAAATAGGGTGGTACATATACTTATAGGTGTAACCATTGTTACCCCATCCCCAAGATAATACATACCGTATATACTTGTAAAATACTTGACCCGTAGGTCATTTTCTCACAAAAGAGTCTTTTAGAGACAAGGTACTTACCCAACCTTTCCCCTTTCATTCCTGAATGCCTAGCTTAAGAGCTACATTCTACCCTCATAATATCCTACCGAGTTTCAGGAGTGTTAACCCTCCCGGGGATACTCAACCCCAACCGAGTTTTGGGATCATTTACCGTCCCGAGGATACTCAACCTCAACCGAGTTTTAGGATCATTTACCGTCCCGAGGATACTCAACCTCAACCGAGTTTTAGGATTGTTTACCGTCCTGAGGATGCTCAACCTCACCGAGTTTTAGGATTGTTTACCATCCTGAGGATACTCAACCTCACCGAGTTTTAGGATCATTTACCGTCCCGAGGATACTCAACCTCAACCTTATTTCTAACCAAACCCTAACCTGGATATGGCTAACCTTTCGTTCACTCAACTATGGACAATACCTGGTCCTATAGTCATATAACAATCCTTAGTAACCAACGTGGACGGGTCCCGCCTGATCGGTCCACGTTAACCCACTCAAAAACTACCCGTTTTGAGTATAACTCAATACTCGATCGAGTACCCACCAATACTCGGTCGAGTACAGGAGACAGGAGCCCGTAAGGCTAATTTCCAAGGCATACTCGATCGAGTATCTATCCATACTCGATCGAGTATAGGAGACAGCGGCCCTTGGGGCCAATTTTCCAGCAGACACCCGGTCGGGTATTGTAGTTGACTTGGCGGTCAACGCCCGTTTGACCGCCCAAACGGAGTCCGATTAACGTGAAATTTTACATGCATATTCTACTTGAAGTCCTTGATCCAAAAATACCATTTTTGACCCCTGGATCATTGTACATAATAAGTTATCACATTTTTAATCACCAAACATACAAAACATGCCTTTCAACTTTGTTTTCTATATAATCATGGCATAAGCCCATACTTGATTAACTTTAATCATTCCGTAAAACATATCCTTGATTACTTTAGGTAATCTCATGCCTCAATCAAAAGTTATAAAGCATATAGCCGTCTTCTCACCTTAAAAGAAGTTTATGAAGTTCTAGCCTTTCTTATTGAGCCCCGGTGAAACTCCGGTGAACTTCAACGAACTCCGGCGACAATTCCGGCGACCCTTCCAACTCCGTGAAAGTCCTTGAAGTACCTTATACAAGTTAACAACAAGGTTTTATCACCATAAAACCCATATAAACACAAATAACCTCCGAAAGGTTATTTTCCGACGAACTCGTCAACTTTGCTCTCAAAGTCCGTCTTGGGTATAAACCAACCCTCCCACTCCTATTCTACACTTTTACATGTGTAGAAGTATCCTAGTAGTATGAAATATGATTAAAGAGAAGAAATGGGATTAATGAAGTCATTACCTTATTAACCCCAAGTTTTCCCACCTAAACTCCTCTTTTCTCTTCCCTTTCTTCCTTCCTTCTTCCTCCCTTGCTCTTGGTGCGTGAATGGTGGATGCTATGGAGTATTTTCAGAGCTTCTCTTCCCAAAGATGATGGTATGGCCGAGCTTGAATGAGTTGGGATGATTGAGAATGCCTTTTTGGCATTTCTCCCAATCATAACATGGGAGGGGTCCCATTTATTTTATTATTTTGATCCCAATCCATTCATGCCCCCTCTCCCATTTCCTTGTGCGGATCCCCCTTGTCATTTGTAGACTAAAAAACGTGGGGATGGCCCCCACTTAGATGGGTGGTCATCCCTTTGTGTCCCCGAGTGTACATTCGGTCCCGAAAGTTGTATTTTCCGGACTGTTTTAATTGTATTTCATTTTATCGGGTAAAATGAAATGTCTATCATTCTTCCAATTATTATCGGCTACAAGAATGAATGTATATCCCCCAGCTTTTAATTTGATGGTATCCATAATTTATTATGGCTTTTATCTGTCAGTACGACGGTACCGATAAATGGGCTTTATTTGCCCAAAAGGTTACTCACATAACTTCTATGGCCCAACAAGGATGTCCACCATTATACACATATTATCTTGACCCAAATGAATATAATATGTGGTCCCAATAAAATCGGGCGGCCCCCACTTCCAGTGTGGGCCCCACGTGAATTTTACTATTCACGCAAAAGAAATGATAAAAATTCACGATCACGTAAAATGCGTTTATTCATTTCTTGGGTTCAATACATAATTTGATAAAGTACAAATACTTGGGGGCGGTGTTACATTTTAGTTCACTAATCACAGGCGTTGGGCTTACATCGCAGTTCGCATGCGTCCATGGGCTTCCATCGCAGATCATTCACGTTCTTCACGCGCCGCCTACGCAGATGACGATTCTGGACAGCCGCAACCTCCAACACGAGCGCAGCACCGGCTTGAGCGGCGGCTTGAGAAGTGGCGCCTCCTGGTGTATAGCCCTAGTTGCTTCTTCTCCCTCTTTCTTGCTCTGGACTCTTCCTTTTTCTCT